GCCGATGACTCAACGCAGTTAGAAGTTCGATTTTGAGTTAGCGCCTGCTGATGAGTAAAATATGCGACAAATACAATATTGCGTCAAATTAAAATGTAAACAAAAAAGATGACTCGATTAAGGGGCGAAGGAGAGGAGTAGCTTAGTACAGAGTGGACGTAGAAGGCGCCCCTTAAGTAATTCGTTTAACATAAATGATCATTCCTGTTGCTAAGCTATAGCATATGCTTTGTTGACTGTAGTTTTTATGTCCTAATAACGGTTCTTAAATTTAAACTTCTGATAGCCAAAGGATTTTCGGAACAAAAATGACAAGCTTAGGTTTTCAGGATGGGTCTTGTGCTGGTACTAAGGTCGACGAACTTCCTTTGCCAAAGCAGTGTGCATGCCAGAATGGTGGTATTTGCCAGCTAGATGGCACTTGTGATTGCGGTGATTTTGAAGGCGAGCAGTGTCAGAAAGGCTCCACTGTATCTAGAGAGGCAAGTCTTTTTTAGTTTTGATTTTTGAATTTTTTGTTAAGCTAATGAGTGAATTAAATTTCGCATCAGCCAGTCACACGTTGCTGGCCTCTTCACTCTTTTTTGTGTTGGAAAAAATTGGGCTGTGACCATTTCATTTGTTCTGCAACCAATTTGTAAACAACGCAAGTGCCGCCGTCACTGCTACATGCATGTAAGTGGTGTTGACTAAAAAGAACTGAATGTTTGCTTCACTCTCGGCCAGGATATAAATATGAGCCACAATCTCCTCTTCGGAGATTGCTCTTAGAAGGGCTGTCGGTTGACGCTAATTTCACAGTAATTGTCTAATCAAATGGGACACTTCTTGCGCACCTCTGTGCTGAAGATATTTACGTACGGATGCGAAACGTGTCGCTTACAAATTCAGAGCCAGCAAAGGATACTTGGCTGTTTCTTTATGGCATTATAAACAATCAGAATCTCTGCCGGATGAGCGGCGTGCGAGATATGTTTACAGTTACACTAGAAAGTAAAATTCTGTTGGGAGGGCATGTTGTTGGCTTACCAACGACTGATGAATGTCGTCAGTAAGTGAAGGTATTATGTTTTTTTTTTGTCAAAGCTATATAAGTTGCAACTTCTCCAAGTGTAAAATCAAATGTCACTGTGATTAAGTGGTAAGAAAATTCCAGTTAATCGGTCGATTTGGTTCAAATGCTTTCCTAGCAGCGCTATTATTCGTATCGCTGTTTGCCTGTGTTGTACTGATGGTATTGATTGCTACGAACCTGTACAAGAAGCGCTTGCTGTTATTCAAAAAGAACGAAGCTGCTGATGGGGCGGTTTCATTCCGCGGGAATGTTATATCGTTCAGCAATCCAGTGCTCGATCCGAAACCGGTAACA